TATTTTTGAGGATGATTATACGTTAGGATTTGAGATTTAGAGGCATAAATGCAAGTTCAAGGGCTAATTTGCAAATTAAAGTACAATTTCATTGATAAAATATTATAAATTGTATTTTTTACAAGCTAAATATTGTTCGTGAGGATCAAATTATGTAAAATAAAATATTTGGTTCAACATGGAAGTTCACATACTATTTGGAGTTTTGGGGTCTGTTGAAGTTCTTGGACATTAAGTTATGAAATATGAAGAAGAAAAATAATACAAAAACTACACAATTAATGAATTTCTTTAAATTGATTTCATAATGGAATTCTACATATGATGCGACAAACGATAGCTCACATTGAAGATTGAGAGGAGTTTAGGAATAAAAAAGTGATTAAGATGAGCCCGAATTATTTCGTAATACTACAAGAGTATTGATCTAATTGAAATTGAAATAATGGATCAATAATATTATGTCACATCATTACATTTCTAATTCTAAGCTATATATAAAATCTTATTAGTGTTGTACGGGGTATCTTAGTCATTCAAGTTAATTTTATAAGGTACGTGATTTTTGGAGATGATGTTGGTCGAGAAGATGAATGATGCTGATCATATTTCGTAACATAAAAGAAAAAAAATCATATTTAAACCCAAGCAAATAATTTTCTATTTTACCATGTCACGTAGATTTCCATGTTACAAGATTCTATTTAAGAATATTACGTTGAACAAAAAATATTTGTTTTATGTTGACTTGTAACAACGTGAGTTGTAACACAGCTTAATGTTACACCATTATATTTAAATAAATATTTTACAATTAAAAGACATGTTTAGTTTCTGTGTTACAAAATGAGTTTAAATCTTAAATTGCGTTTTATACTTATATTCAATTTTTATTTTTTTATTTTTTGGGTGTAGCAACAGAATATTTCAATGGTGTAACATGTTGCTGATTTGAACTACTTAAAATAAATTCACATTTCTTACTTTATAAATAAGTTGTAATCAATAAAAATGATTAGTACGTGTCCATAGTAACATTTTGTATCAGAATTTTATGATGCTTATATTCTGCAAATGTATTTTGAAAAGTAACATTCTATTTTGCAACAATTCTGACGTGTTTTTTTAAATAAAATACTTCTAAGTTCATAGAAACACTAGATAATAATACTTCATTTTTTAAGTACTTGTTGAACAAAAAGTTGAGATTTTAATAAAGTATTTATTATGACAAATTGCTAAGTTTGCCATACTCTCAAAAAGTTTGAAGTCTCGGCAATAAAATTAAAATTTAGGATTATGTTCGCAAAACTACATACATTTTAGTAAAATTCTATCTTGCAACAATACTGACGAGCCTTTTTCAATAAAATACTTCTATGTTTATAGAAACATTTGATGATAATACATCATTTTTAAGTATTTCTTGAACGACAAAGTTGAGATTTTAATAAGGTATTTACTATGACAAATTGCTAAGTTTGCCCAACTCTTAGGAAGTTTGAAGTTTCGGCAATAAAATTAAAATTTAGTGTTATTTTCGCAAACCTACATACACTTAAGTGTTAGTAAGTGGTTAACCATCAAGATTGAGTTCTCGGTTCGTGACTAAAGGAAGCAATATGAAGATGATATTGGTACATGCAAAGTCATAATGCACCTCATGAGTAAATGGCCACTTACAAATTATGTACGTGTATTACCTAGACGGGTACAACACTCGTTTAGAACAAGTGATCTCACATGGACCAAGCCAAACATTAAGGATAAAGGTAAATAAACTCTCCTTAAACTACATGGTATAAGCTCACGTTATCCATTAGCAACATTGTATGTTCTTAAGACTCTCAACTTAAGCAAAAGAAATTGCAACAATAAGAAACGAAAATAGCGAACACTTTTTCCGATATTTCATTAGATTAAAATTCATAACATCATTGATAAAAATTCTGTTGGAAAAAATTGGGTTTTAATTAGTTGGTTTGACCAATTAATTTAGTGGGTCCCATTAATCGGATATAAGATTTCATTGGCCGAATGTGTTCTACTCCATGAGTAGATTAATATGGTATATTTATTTTCTCAAAACCAATTTAAGGTGAATGAGAAATTAAGGTCAAAAGATGCCACTTGATGTTGAAATAAAATAGGTGGGAAATTGGAAAATACCAATCCCACATAGGAAAACTAGAATAATATAAACCACCTTATATAGCTCAAGTTTGGGACTTGGGTTTGGGCCCAAGGGGTACCAATAGTCTTTGAGGGGGAGAGAACCTACATGCAAGTAGGTTAAGTCAAAGCCCACACGCTCGCGCTGACGTCCGTCCGACCAGCCGGCTCGACACGGTCACGGGTCGTGGGCTTGGGTCAAGCTAATATATATTTTTTGGTAAAATAACATTTGAATTATATTATTTTATTATTATTTAATAATAATAATATTTTTTTTATGTTATTATTTTTTCTTCCCCGAATTTTCTGTGTGTGACACGTGGCGTTTCTAGAATTTGGTGGTTGAATGTCTAATCGGTTGTGGCGGTTGACTGTTCAAACTGTTTGTGTCTTTTGGAGACAATTTTTCGACAGTTGTGTCTGGTGGGACACAACCTTTCAACATCTATATATAGGTCCCCTAACCCCGATTTTAATTTATTCCAAAATCAAAATTGATTTCTACTCTCTCGAAATTATCCCTGCATCATTTCTGCTTTTATAATTCAGTCATCAAAAATTATTTTTCGTGCATTTTAGTCATCTAGTGTGTGTGGAGAGATCTAAACTTTACGGTTTCGTCGTGTCTTGTAATTTGGAGTACTACTATTACAAGACGAGGTCGATGTATCTTGGGAAACGAGTGCTGCAATACCGTCAGTACCGGTACGGGGCATTATTGTTTTAAGGAGAAAGAGTCGAACTCTTGCCTCGACCATTCAAAATCATTCAAACGTCGTTACTCTGCCCAAATATACATTACGGTGACACTATTATTTTTCTATATTTTTCATCAATCTTAAAACAATAATGGCAATTAGTAGTACGTCTGTTGTACCCCCTAGTACGTCTATCGTACCCCCTAACAATGCTCACGGGGAGAAACCGGAAAAATTCACGGGAGTGGATTTTAAGAGATGGCAACAGAAAATATTGTTCTATCTCACGACTCTAAATCTTGAGAGAAGATGCTCCAACTGTTGAGGAGAAGGAAACAGATTCTAAAAAACGAGCAGCATTCGATGCTTGGAGTCATAGCGACTTCTTGTGCAGAAATTACATCCTCAATTACCTTGACAACACACTATACAACGTCTACTGTTCCGTCAAAATGGCTAAATTACTATGGGAGTCATTGGAAAAGAAGTACAAAATAGAAGATGTTGGATTGAAGAAATTCGTTGTAGGCAAATTCCTCGACTTCAAAATGGTATATTCTAAAACAGTAATGACTCAAGTCCAAGAGATACAACTTATCTTGCACGATATACATGCAGAAGACATGAAGCTCTATGAACCATTTCAGGTAGTTGCAATTATCGAAAAATTACCACTGGATTGGTAACCCCGAACTAGACCTGAATTTGCCCACCATGCTCGACCTCGACCTAAGACCCCCAGTTGATCTTAGTGTGTTACGCCGGTTTAAGGTCAGGGTTTCCTTAAGGTCGGGGTTATCTCTAATCCGACCCTGCCCACCGACTTAATCTCCAAAAAAATAGACCCCGCCTAAGTCTACTCCTTCCCTGATTAGAACTCTAACAGTATACTTCTAATCAAACTCCAACACCTAATCCTAAGGGAAAAATGACTCTTTCAATAATAGAATCCTTCTACAGCTCCCCCACCAACACCTATAAATACTTAGCCAATGCTCAACATCAAGGTACGTTTTCATTATCTTCAGTTTATAACCTCACGCACTAAATTCCCTATCTGACTTAAGCATCGGAGGGGCGACGAGCACACACCTCGTTGCCTTTGTTGTAGGTATTCACAGACCGATTGTGTCCATCAAAGTGAAGTTAGACCATCAAGCTCAAGATCTTTCAGGTGATATTTTTTGGTAGCATCATTGGCGCCGTCTGTGGGAAGCGCTACCAAAAGCCATGGTGAATACACGATCAGGTCTTCCACCAGCAAGCTCATTCGCTCCAAATCCTCCCCCTGGAGATCATCCTGTCCCTCAAGAGGAATCATCAGAGATGGCAGCACCGCCACAAGTTACCACATTGACTCAGTTATTAAGCCAAAAAAACTCACACCCATCGCATACACTAACACCGGATGCCGATCTTATGGCAGTTGTTCAAGCTCAAGCTCCACAAAACATTCCTGATAATTGTGCTGGAACCTTGGGTATGCCTCCTATGACCGCAGCATCAAGGGTAGTAACGATAGAGTCAGGGGAGCTTGCCAGAATCATCAAAGAAGGTATTGCCGCGGACCTAGCACAGAATTCAAAGGGGAAAATATGCTTTACCCCTAGCGCACCCTTTACTCCTGAAGTACTGTCCTACCCCCTTTCGGATAGGTTCAGGTATCCCAGGATAAAGGAATATGATGGGACCACTGACCCTATCACCCACCTCAATGTATATACCGATATCATGAACCTACAGGTCTCACCTGACGCTGTAATGTGCAAAGCCTTCCCTCAAACTCTTACAAGCGTAGCTAGAGATTGGTTCTCCACATTAGGGCCAAACTCTATCGCCTCATTCGCAGACTTGGCTGATTAATTCTCCGCTTTCTTCACAAGCAGCAAGCGAATTAGGAAAATAACGGCATCACTTATGCAGATGCGCCAGGGACCTAATGAAACATTACGTAATTTGATGATCATATTCAATAACGAAAGACTTCAGATTCCGGATCTACATATTACAGCTGCGGTCTCAGCTTTGACATAGCTATAAGATGCGAAGCATTCAAGATGTCTTTGTCAAACCCCCTCCCCAAAGTCAGTAACTGACCTCCTAACTCGAGCTGAGAAATACATTAATATGGAAGAAACTCTGACCCCAAGAAAGGACGTTTCACCTTTACTAAGTCCGGACAATAAGAGACCGCGTGAACCCAATCAACGAGACGACAATTGTCGGGTCAAGCCAAGACAAAACCCCCGACCGAAAACCTTTACTCCCTTGAATACATCAAGGTCCAACATCCTGATGGAGATCAAGGACCTCAAAGAGCTTAAGTGGCCTCCTAGAATGCGATCATTACCTGAAGACAGAGACAAAACCAAGTACTGTGATTTCCACCGGGACCACGGACATACCACTGAGGGTTGTTTGGCTCTAAAGCAACAAATTGAGGCCCTCATCAGGAGGGGTTTTTTCGGCTCTTACACTTGCCATGAAAAATGCCCGAGGAAAAAGCAGAATAACATACAGGAAGGGCGTAGTTGTGAACCGCCAACGGCAAGCATTATTAACGTTATTATCGGAGGAACAGCTTCAGGAGGAGACACCAACAGTGGACGTAAGAAGTATGCTAAACAACTTCCAGTCTCTTCCAACACGGATTTTACTCATACGGAAGATATCACCTTCGGGTCCAAGGATTTGGAAGGAATATCCTTCCCCCATGATGACGCCCTAGTCATATCAGCTATCATAGCTAACTTCGAGGTCAAGAGAATTCTTGTGGATAACGGAAGTGCAGCTAATATACTGTCTCATGAAGCTATAGTTCAGATGGGTATCTCAATGGAACAACTCAAGCCTATTAAAACACCCCTCCAAGGATTTGGTGGCGGGGTCATCACCCCTGAAGGTATTGTTGGGTAACCCATATCGTAACTTTCGAAGTTGTCCGAACTCCGATGGCTTACAACGCCATTCTGGGAAGACCATTGCTAAGTAAAATCAGAGCTGTTATCTCAACTTTTTACCTGGCGATGAAGTTTCCCACATATAGTAGAGTTGGAGTCGTCCGAGGAAGCTAAACCATGGCACGCCAATGCTATGTGACTAGTGTCCGAAAAATAAAAGCCGACGTCATGCAGCTTTCAGAGCTCGAGCTCAAGCTTGAAAATAGTGGGAGACTCGCCCCAGTAGAGGAGCTGGTTGAGGTCGAGCTCGAGCCTGGTAGGAAGGTGACAGTAGGGTGTGACCTTGATTCAACCATCATGGCTAAACTCATAAGTTGTCTCTCCCAAAACCAAGACGTATTCGCCTGGACAGTTGAAGACATGTCGGGAATTGACCCTGAGGTTGCAGTATACAGGCTCAATGTAAACCCAGGAGCCAAACCTGTCAAACAAAGGAAAAGACAGTTTGCACAACGGCGCGAAGTCATACGATAAGAGATTGCCAAGCTCCTTAATGTACAGTTCATCCGAGAAGTGCAATATCCTGACTGGCTCGCCAATGTAGTTCTCGTGAAAAAGGCCAATGGAAAGTGGCGAGTTTGCATTGACTTCACTAATTTGAAAAAAGCATGTCCGAAAGATAGCTATCCCCTCCCCCCGATTGACAGTCTCGTTGACAACACTTCGGGTCACAAATTGTACAGCTTTTTGGACGCATTCTCAGGGTACCACCAAATACCAATGGCCACAGAAGATCAAGAGAATACCTCATTCATGGCAGATTCCGCCATCTATTGTTATAAGGCCATGCCATTCGGCTTAAAGAACGCAAGGACTACATATCAGAGGCTAATCAACAAGGTCTTTGTTGATTTAATTGGAAAAACCATTGAGGCTTACGTCGATGACATGGTGGTCAAAAGTAAACTAGTGGATGATCATATCACCGATCTTGAAGAAGTGTTTTCCACGGTATGGAAATACAACATGAAGCTCAACCCAACAAAATGTGCCTTTGGGGTAGTATCAGGAAAGTTTCTAGGTTTCATGATCACAAATAGAGGAATAGAAGCCAACCCTGACAAGATCCAAGCCCTAATATCTATGGAAGCCCCAAAGAGCAAAAAGGACATCCAAAAGCTTACTGGTTGGGTAGCAGCATTGAACAGTTTTGTCTCTCGGGCAGCGGATAGATGTTTCCCCTTTTTCAAACTTCTAAGAGGCCACAAGAGTTTTGAATGGAATGATAAATGTGATCTAGCCTTCCAACAACTTAAGCAAACTTTAACTGTATCTCCGATTCTTGCCAAACCAGAGCCTGGTGATACTTTGTTCCTTTACTTGGCTGTGTCTCGAAATGCCGTAAGCGGGGTACTAGTAAAGAAAAAAGGAAAGGTGCAACAACCTATCTAATATGTCAGTAAAGTACTTCTTGACACCAAGACTCGGTATAACCTTGCGGAACAGTTAGCTCTTGCCTTGATAGTAACTGCTAGAAAGTTGCGGCAATATTTCCAATCTCACCCCATAATAGTTCTCACCAATCAACCACTCAAGCACATACTTCAGAGGCCAGATGTCTGGGAAAGGCTATTAAAATAGGCGATCGAGCTTGGCGAGTTCGACATAGAATTCAAGCCTCGACTTTCCATCAAAGCACAGGCACTGCCCGACTTCATAGCTGAACTCACTCCAAAAACAGAAAGGCCCGAAGTAAAAAACCCGAGCACGACCTCAAAAACTTGGGAGATATTTTTTGATGGAGCGTCGAACAGCTCGGGCTCGGGGGCCGGGATAATTATCATCAGCCCGGACAAGACCATTGAAGTTCAATGTGAACTTAGGTTTGAGTTTGAAGCAAGCAACAACGAAGCGAAATATGAAGCTGTGGTCATTGCTCTCGAACTTGCCAGGAATTTGGAATTAGAGCACATCAGAGTCTTCAGCGACTCACAGCTCGTTGTTGGACAGATCAAAGGATCATTTGAAAGAAAAGATGAAAAGATGAGCTTGTAGTGTCTAAAAGTGCATGACCTTCAAAGACAGTTCACAAGTTGTGAAATACTAAAAATAGCAAGAGCAGATAACTCCAAAGCTGACGCACTATCCAGACTTGTTTTCATGAGGATAGATGGACTCGATAGAATAGTGCACATCAAGATTGTCACAGAGCCTAGCATAAACACGAAGCCGAGCGTTATGGACATTGACCATAAGCCTTCTTGGATTGATCAAATAGTTGAGTATATAAGTAATGGAGACCTGCCTCCTGACCCTAGCGCCGCAAGAAGTATTAGAGCTAAAGCTGCTAGGTATTGCATTATCATAGGGGTGTTGTTTCGACGAAGTCTCACACTCCCCTATCTGAGATGCCTCAAGCCTTCCGAGTCTTTCCAAGCCCTGACTGAGGTTTACGAGGGAATATGCAGAAATCACCAGGGAGCCAGGGCCCTTGCCTACAAATTAATAAGGTATGGGTACTACTGGCCAACTATAAAAAAAGATGCAGCTGAATATGTCAAAAGATGCGACAAGTGTCAGAGGTTTGGTAATGCTATACATGCCCCTGCAGAAGAGTTGACTTCTATCCATTATTCAGCACCATTTGAACAATGGGGAGCTGACATCCTTGGGCCTTCCCCATGGCCCGAGGACAGTTAAAATTTGCTGTGGTAGCAGTTGAGTACTTCACAAAGTGGGTAGAAGCCGAACCCCTAGCAAAAATATCAGAGGCCAAGCTCAGATCATTTATATGGAAATCGATTATATGTAGGTTTGGAATACCCAAAGTACTTATAACAGATAATGAAAGGCAGTTCGACGATTCACAATTCAAAAACTTCTGTGTCAATCTCGGTATTGACCATCGTCTGACATCAGTATCGTACCCTCAAAGCAATGGCCTCGCTGATGTGACAAATAGGATCATACTTCAGGACCTTCGCACCAGGATCGGAAACGCAAGAGGTGACTGGCCCGATGAGTTGCCCTCCATACTGTGGGCATATAGAACTTCTCATAAAATAGCAATAAGCGAGACTCCTTTCATGTTGGCTTTCGGCTTAGAGGCCACTATCTCCATCGAAGTCAGTCTTCCCACTTTAAGGAGAGTTGAACCCGACATGGAAGACCAAACAACCGAATATCTTGACTTACTTGAAGAAGTAAGAGAGCAAGCTTCACTGAGAGCTGCTAGTTACCAAAATAAAACGGCAAAGTACTTTAGCGCCAAAGTCAAGTCCCGAGAATTTAAGAGTGGGGATTTGATTCTAAGAAGAGCAGAGGCAGCTGGAAACCCTCCAGGTAAGCTTGGACTGGTATGGGAAGGGTCATTCGAAGTCATACGAAGGATCAAAGGAGGAGCATACAGCCTTAGAGATCTTCAAGAAATCTACTTTCGAGGCCTTGGAATGTGGATAACCTAAAAATATATTACAAGTAGAATAGCAATAGCGTCACACAAGGGCTTGCATGCCCGCCGTATTTTCATTTTTTAGTAGCTCGGGTCTATGAACCCTTAAGCATTTTTTGTTTTCAAGTAGCTCGGGCTAAGTACCCTTGAGCACCTAATAATATTTAAAGTTTTCTTTTATTAGCACTACTTAAACTTCGGCGTAACGACATGCTTCGGGCATGCAGCCAACTCTTCAACATTAGTGTAACGATGTGCTACGGGCATGCAACTAATAAACTTTGGCGTAACGACGTTCTTCGGGCATGCAGCCAACTCTTCGACAGTAGTGTAACGACGTGCTACGGGCATGCAACTAATAAACTTTAGCATAATGACGTGCTTTGGGTATGCAGCCACTATAACATTAGTGTAATGACATGCTACGGGCATACAACTAATAACTCTGGCATAATGACGTGCTTCGGGCATGCAGCCATTTCTTAACATTAACGACCTTCTATAGGCATGCAGCATAATACAACCTGAGGTCATGAACCCTGAACTATTTTGCATTTAAAATCAATAACGGATAAGTTCGGGGTCGAACCTGTTCACATGATAAAGATCGAACCCGACACCGTCTGTAACCTAGAAACAAACTCAAAAACCCAAGTTTATATGTAAAAAGCTCGAACTCATCATCCGAATTGACATACAGACCCATAAGTTCGACCTCGATGACTACATCAAGAATCAAGCTAGGACATGTCCGGTGTTTAAGGTCGAAATGTTGATCGAATTGAGCTCCGTGCCTTTCACACAAGACACCCCGAGCTAAAAAGGCCCAAGTTATGGCAACTAAAAAGCTCGAACTATATCAAGAATCGAGCTCATGCATGCCTGATGTTCAGCACCAAAGTGTTGATTGAGCACCAAAGCATTGAAAAAAAATAAACACAAGTGCACAAACATTCATCAATAAATTGAAAACAGTAGTATGCACGAACATTCATCAATAACAAAGTAATGTGCACGAACATTGGTCGATGAAATTAATAACAAAAGTATCAGCCCAGTTCGGGCAATATTACAAAAATTTTTAAAACAAAGTTAACGACCTAATCGATATCTACAACCCTGACATCGTTCCCTTGATCGCCAGTCCTGACGTCATCTCCATTACCATCATCATCATCCTCTCCACCATTGTCCTTGACCTCGGAAGCCAAAAGTTCGAGCTCCTATGTGAGCTCGTTCATTGTCTTCAAATCCTCGACCAGGGACTTTAAATCCTCAGGCATCTTCGTGCGAAGATAAGAATGGGCAAGGCGAAGCCTGTAATGGTAAGAGCCCGACCCGTACTGTCCCAACAGGGTCCCAAACTCGTCGGACTTCTTGAAGTCTTCAACAGCCTGAGCTCGAGCGTCATCACGAGCCTTTGCCAGCTCTTCCCCAAAGCTCCTCTGGGACTGGAGAAGCTCGAGCTTAACTTCCTCGACCTCAGCCTTGGATGTCTCCAGTTCCTCTCGGGACTTCTTGAGGTTAGCCTCAGTAGTCAGCTCGCTCTTTTTCCTTTAAAACCTCATCCATTTCGTTCGAGATGTTGATACCATTCAAAGTAAGACCTCGTGCCACACTCAGCGTCTGCACAAAGAAGGAAAGGAAGTCCGAAGTCAATTCGATTAAAGAAGATGAAAAAATAAAAAATACAGTTAAGTTCGGTATCTTACCCTTAAGGTCAAAGCCTCTAGTTTCTTGACCCCTTCATTAATGTTGACCTCCTTCTCGAACCTTTCGACAAGGTCCTTCACCAGGGCACACTCTGTGTATTCCTCAAGGGCACTATCTGAGATAGGCTCGAAGCCTGAATCCCCGACGCCATAACAACCCCGAGCACGATCTTGATATTTCGACTTTGTATGAGGCATTGAGGTCGGGCTCCTTGACGTCGAGGGTTGACCCTTAGGAGGGGCCGGGCTCTCAAGATCCACTTCAGGCACCCTAACATCGGCGTGCCTGGCCCTCTTCTTCTCCTTTTTTGAGGCCGGAGCTTTAGACATCGGCCCCTTCGCCTTATGATGGACATTGGCCAGCAATTTGGAAGGATCAAAAGACATCTTTAGATCTGCAAGAAACAAATCACAAGGCATTAGCATGATCTCGACATCAAGAATACGATGATAGAGCTTAAAAAGTAAAAGACATACCCTCGAGGCCTTTCACATTTGCAAGGTTGAGGGTGTCATCCTCGAGCAAATAATCGATCTTCTCTGCCAAGGGGTTGTGGTTAACTAACCTTAATCTGTCCCTCTCTAGAACCTCAAAATACGCCTGACCCTCATTAAACCTATCCTTACTAGGGATCTCCCACCTCGAGCTAAAAGGATGGTCGGGATCCTGGGGCTTTACAAAGAAAAATCTCTCTTTCCAACCCCGAAGAGAGCTCGGGGTCTCAGATGTTCTAAGCCTCCCCTTGGTTGACAAATACACAAAACAGTTGAACCCCAACGAGTACTTCATATCATACACCATCCTCAGAAGGTCGAGCCTAGGCTCGATATCGAGGCATCTACATAATATAAAGAAATAGACCAACAGCCTCCAACCTTTAGGGGCCAACTGGCCCGAACACATATAGAACGAAGTTAAAAAGTGGATAAAAAGGGGTGAAGGGGCCACCGCATCCCAGCCTTAAGGGCATCCCTAAAAAACGTCATCTCCCCCTCTCGAGCTCCTAAGATATCTTCGGTACTCTTAGGAACCTTAACATCACAAATGGGCATCACCCCGAACTCTCTAGCAATCTTAATAATTACATGTTCTTTATAAGTGGTCAGGTTTTTTGAATAAGTTAATACCTCTCCTGGAGAGCTAACAGGAAAGGCCAGGGTGATAAGATCTCGACCTTGATCACTCGGAGTCTCGACGGCTATACTAGGGGCAGTAGGGTTCTCATTATGCCCCGAACTCTTAGAAAGCCTACTACTGTCACTATTACTCGACCCCTTACTGCCACTACTGCTACTGCTCGACATTTCTCTACTCAAATAATTAACAACTTAAAGGCTCAAACTCTTACCTTAATGGAGATCACTCACAACCCACTATCCCCGAACTCGAGCTTCTTTTACAGAGAGTGGAGAGTAAAAAGTGAAAATGAATAGTGGGGTATTTATAGGGGTCATGGGCATACCAACAGTCACTTAATCTAAAACCCTTAAAATAGGATACGTGGCAAAGATCCAAGTTCGAGCTCTGACAACCAGCCACATGACAGGCACGTGATATAGTATATCTCCAACAGGTAAATGACAGGTGTCGAGGTCGATATCAAGCTACGACATCCTTTTTGCATCTCAATCCAAGATGGTATACACTGCATGATCTACAACTCAGATGCACGGGGGGCCTATGATGATTCCGGATTGGTAACCCCGAACTAGACCTGAATTTGCCCACCATGCTCAACCTCGACCTAAGACCCCGAGTTGATCTTAGTGTGTTATGCCGGTTTGAGGTCGGGGTTTCCTTAAGGTCGGGGTTATCTCTAATCCGACCCTGCCCACCGACTTAATTTCCAAAAAAATAGAACCCACCTAAGTCTACTCCTTCCCTGATTAGAATTCTAACAGTATACTTCTAATCAAACTCCAACACCTAATCCTAAGGGGAAAAGGTCTCTTTCAATAATAGAATCCTACAGCTCCCCCACCAACACCTATAAATACTTGACCAAGGCTCAACATCAAGGTACATTTTCATTATCTTCAGTTTATAGCCTCACGCACTAAATTCCCTATTTGACTTAAGCAAAGGAGGGGTGACGAGCACACACCTCGTTGCCTTTGTTGCAGGTATTCACAGACCGATTGTGTCCATCAAAGTGAAGTTAGACAATCAAGCTCGAGATCTTTTAGGTGATATTTTTTGGTAGCATCAACCACCAATGTGGAAAGATTTCAAGAACTACCTGAAACATAAACGCAAGGAAATAGGAATTGAAGATTTGATTGTTAGATTAAGAATTGGGGAAGACAATCGAAATGCTGAAAAGAAGTCTGGAAAGCAGTAAATGGAGGCTAAAGTCAATTTGGTGGAGCCAAATACTAGCAAGAAAAGGAAGTACCCGAATAATAGCAAGCAAAAGTGCAAGGCCAAGAAATTCAAAGGAAATTACTATAATTGCGGTAAGCCTGGTCATATTGCAAAGGACTGTCGGCAGAAAAAGCAAAACAAAAAGGACCAAGTGCACTTGACTGAAGAAGAGAGACTGTCTAACGGAGTGTCTCTCGGCTGTTGTATTTGAAGTAAACATGGTGGATAATCCGAGAGAATGGTTCGTTGATACTGGCGCTACTCGTCATGTTTGTGCGGATAAGGAGATGTTTTCATCTTACACTCCTATCAATGGACAACAACTTTTCATGGGCAACTCAGCGACATCAAAAGTTATTGGTTTAGGTAAAGTAGTGATGAAGATGCATCCGGGAAAGAAGTAACACTCATCGATGTGCTGCATGTTCCTAATATTCGCAAAAAATTTGGTATCTGGAGCTCTGTTAAGCAAGAATGAGTTTAGGCTAGTACTTGAATCTGACAAGTTTGTACTCACCAAAAATGGCATGTTTGTAGGCAAAGGGTACTTAGCTAATGGGCTATTCAAATTGAGCATAATGTCTGTACTCCGTGATTTTGATATTAATAAAAATAAATCTTCTGCTTACTAGATTGAGCCTTCTAACTTATGGCATGATAGGTTAGGACATGAAAATATTAATACTTTACGAAGATTAGTAAGTTTAGATTTATTACCTTTTATGTCCTTTGATCAAAATCATCGATGCGAAATATGTGTACATGCTAAACTAGCGAAGACACCGTTTCATTCAGTTGAAAGGAACTCGAATCCTCTAGAACTAATTCACAATGATATTTGTGATTTAAAGTTTGTGCAAGGGGAATGTACAAAATTGTCACCAGAAATGAAAGTTAAAAAAAATGTCATTTTCACTTTTTGTGAGCAAAAATGTCACATTTTTGGGGTGCAAAGTCCAAAATACCCTTAATCACACATTTCTAGTAGCATTAAATGCTTGATGTGAAGGAAAAGCATTGAGTTGATAGAAAACATGGATAAATGTGTATTTTATTGATTAATATGAATTTTTGTTAATAAAAAATTACCAAATAAATTAGAAAACGAAATAAAAACAAGAAACCCTACCTCTTTTCCATCTTCTTCATTTTCATTGATCAAGAAGACATTTGTGTTGCATTCTACATCCACTTTGAGAGGTTAGTAATTACAAATTAATTTATATTACTTTTATAACTTTGTATTTGTACATATTAAATACAACATGGGCATATTTATTTGAAATTACTTTGAAAGTATTATGCATTCATTTGTTTGATTTTTTTTGAATCCTTAATAAAATGCCATTATCACCATTGAGTAATTTCTTCCATTACCACCATTAAAGTCTCTTTAATGACAAGGCCAATATGCCATTTTCATTATGCCATTTGGTAGGTGAATAATAATGACCACACTTAATATGATGTGTTGAAGAAACCTAAGAAATTCACCGCCGTCTGCTTCCCGACATTCTCGACAGTTAAACTGTCGAGTTCGACATTTACAAATCGTCGGGTTAGATTCTGACATTTCGAAACTACCGAGTTATAGAATATTACTTTCAATTTGGATACTTCAAAACGATACAAACCCTTGATTTGAACTTTTGTTATTGTACTGATTTACGTATTATAAAGTGTGAGTTTCATGCTATTAAATGCCAACATATTGATTCGGAATTGTTACCATTGCAATCCCAACATTTCAGGTATGAATAATCATTTGAGATCCGTCGTGTCGCATGGGGAAAATTTTGTTCATGCGGATGACGAATGGAAGTGGAGAGGGGACAAAACTACTTCCATTCTGGTGCCAAGAAGTATTACCGTAGCCGAACGTATGTTAAGGTTGAAGGAGAAACTTGGCATTCTTGATCCCCGCACTGAAATTGAATTGAAGTTCAAAGTCCCTAACTTGAATATACCTCCGGCTGAAATATGCGACAATGAAGACTTAAATTGGTACGTATCAGTGCATAAGGAAAGTGCTATCTGCGTTACTGTTTTGGAATCCGATCTCCCAAGTGTTGACATGGGAAGGGACGCAAATTTTGAAGATCCTTCGTTTGTCGCGGTAGATGTTTAGCAAAATGTGGAACATGATTTGGTGAATCGAATGCATAGTGTCTCAAACAATAATGCACTTGAAACACATGAGTATGATAACGGGAGTGCACCATTAGATGAGAACTTGGATAACCCATCACCTAGTTTAGAGGCTGCTAATTCTGTTGACGTCGAGGACGAGCACTCTTTGTCACATTCGAACGATTCGGATGGATATGAATTTATGAGAACTGTGACTACATCCGATCTTGCCGAAAAGGAAATATTCTTTAGCAAGAAAGAGTTGTACTCAAAAATTCGTGCAGTTGCTTTGAAAACAAGTTCCAATTTCGGGTGAGCCGGTCAAGCATGAAGATGTTAACCGTTGTATGCGCCGACCGCAGTTGCAAGTGGATGTTACGTGCTTCTACTGTGAGGCAGTCTGCAATCTTTGTGATCCGTAAATTCAATAATGTGCACACATGTTCCATTGACTTTTGCATTAATGCGCATCGACATGTGACGAGTGCTGTAATTGCTGAGCATATTTTCGAAAAATTGGATAATCCGAACCGATCGTATGATCCGAGCACTATTGCACGTGACATGGAACGTGAGCTCGGTGTCCAAATAAGTTACAGCAAGGCACGTAGGGGAAAGGTGGCCGCTTTACATATGCTGCATGGGACACCGGAGGTCAGTTTTCAGAAATTATCTTCATACTGTCACGTACTAGGTGAGAATAACCCGGGGACGGTAACCCACATCGAACTTGATTCTCGCGATAGATTCCATTACTTCTTCCTAGCTTTTGGTGCAAGCATTCGTGGTTACATGCAGTACTTGAGGCCCGTAGTTTGCGTTGACGGTAGTCACTTGAAAGGTCCATACAAGGGTACACTTTTACTGGCAACTGCCCAAGATGCGAACAAACAGATTTATCCCTTAGCGTGGGAGATTGTGGATTCCGAAACGAACCGATCTTGGTTGTGGTTTATGTCTAATTTGAAAGATCTTATAGGAGACTCAGATGAACTTGTATTTGTTTCGGACAGGAAAAGAAGTATCGAAAGAGCTATTACTCACTTATTTCCTTTGTCTCGTCATTGTTGTTGTATGTGACATATGGAGAAGAACCTAATTCGACGGTACTTTAACGCAAGTTCAATATTCCTGTTCAAACGAGCTGCTACGACTTATCGGGTCGAAGAGTTCGAACGACTAATGGGACAGATTCGTAGGGTGAGTGAAAGATGTTACAGGTATTTGGAGAAAGCCGGTTTTTCATTCTGGTCACGAGCACTATTCGTGGGAGACCGATACAACATTATGACAAACAACAACGCGGAATCATTGAACTCGATGCTGAGACATGCTCGTTGATAAGTGTGTTTTTACACACTTATTTGGATTCATAAACACGACTTAAACATGGATAAAATGGTTGAATTGTGACTTAATCCAGTTAAATTTATGCATTGTAGGTAATTCAATGGAAATTGTGGAATTCAGGAGAAAAGAGCCGAAGAAGGACCAAAACGCAACAATTTGATAGTTCGAGGACCAAAGGTGCAAATATTGAAAAGTTGAGCTAAATGCAAAACGAGAGGGAAGACATGCCAAGTATGAGTTCAATGACAAAGCAAAATGAATGGAAGAAGAAAATATTGAAGAGGGACTGAAATGAAGACAATTGAAAGTTGGAGAACTAAAGTGCAAATACTCAAAAGATATGCCGAATGAGGGGCATAAGAATTGATGGTATCAATCATCAAGTGGAAGATAAAATTTATTGAAAAGATGAAGAAATCAAAGAAAGAAGTCAAGAGAAGCAACAAAGAAGTTCAGGGACCAAACTGAACAGACCACATAGATGGTTACCTCTATGTGACCGCATAGTGTAACCTTCTATGCGGTCGCATAGAGGGATCCAGGGATTCAATGTACCCAAATTTTTTGATCTATGTGACCGCATAGATTCCCTCTATGCGGTCGCATAGAGTTATTTTCAACTCTCGGGCGCAGTTTTTCATTTTGGTTGAAACTCCTTCCCTACTTAATTTGGACGCGATATAAATACCAAAAATCATCATATGAAGAGGGAGAACGACCAGGGAGAAGGAAAAAACCAAAATTGGAGGCAAGAAACTTGATTTTGGATTCAATTTCACACGGGCTCGAGACGGGATTGAAGATTATACACACGGATTGAAGAAATTCCATACGGGAGTATTCTTATTTTCTTTTAATTTCGTTTTTTCAATTTCTTAATTTTGCAATGATGATTATAGGCTAGGGTTTTTATTCATTAGGAATTTGATGAACCTTTTGATGATTTAAATTTCCGTTATTTCATAAATTCAATATTAATTTCGATTGGACAAATGCTTGATTTATATGAGTTGAATGTTTCCATAATTATTTGGCCAATTATTATGTGATTGTAGATGATTTATTCTTTGCATTCAAAAGAAGGGGAATAAATTCGATAGAATATAAATTGACATAGGGTCCGATAGGGGATGGAAACTTACCTCTATGCTTTATGCAATTCATGAAAATGTTCATAAAATGTCATGCATTCTTATACATTGCATCATCCATAGAAATATAGGCTGGTGATGTGTAAGAGTAGATTCAATATATATCGAGAGAGTGTATTTGATAATTTAGGAACATTGAATTGGCATTTTGTTCATCTATTCGTTGAATTTGTGAAATTAGGTTTTTTTTAATAATCAATTGGGGATTCAAGTTCTTAATGATTTCATTTCAATTCATTTCAATACAATAATTCTAAAATTGCGTATTTACATTTCAGTTGCGTATTTATTTCATTAGATTAGTGAAATTTTGAATTTAGGGTTTCCAATTTTGAAATTAGGGTTTTCTTTGCAATTAGGGTTTCGAATTGGGGATTTCTCCCAAAATTAGGGTTTTCATATTTAAACCAAATTTTCATTCAATTAGATTCGGTTAAGGTCACATTAGTTTAATTAGAGCTAATTTAATCTTCGTGGGAACGATACTTGGACTCATAGTCCACTTTACTACTTGTTAGCGAACCGTACACTTGCGGTGAGTTTTAAAATCGAGAAGAAATAATTTTGCGAACACTCGTTCGTTGCCAATCACGTGTTTGGTCGAGCACATTCGTAAAACAATGCAGAGGTGGTTTTACTAACGTCGAAGCAATGCAACCGCATGTAGTACTATATTATCGTCGAGGATGGAGAACGAGTTACAAACAACATTTGAAGCTGGTACTAGGCTTCGAGCCCATCAGTTGACAAACAGCTTGACCCAGGTTGGAATATCCAACGATAAGGAGATAGTGGACTTCTCCGATAACGCGTGCACATGTCGTGAGTTTCAACTAAATCGTATGCCATGTGCTCATGTAACTCGTGGGGCTACCCTGAGTGGTAAGTCATTATACGATCTATGCTCTCCGTACTATATATCGGAATACTGGAAGGGTGCCTATATGGAAGTCATATATCCCGTTACACGGGAAGTGGATTGGGTTGTTCCAAATGAAATCCTAGGCACTCATATTTTGCCACCGACCGTACGTCGTCCTCCAGGTAGACCACCGACGCGACGTAAGCGAGCTAGATACGAGTCCACTTCCCAACTGAGGAAATGCACTCGATGTGGGAGACTTGGTCATAACCGGACCACATGTTCGAACCCTATTGTATCACAAGCCACTTGAAGAAGCGTGATCTGTAAAAGTGGTTGTCAAATGTAATCCCCGAAAAACTTAATTTAAATATGCATTGTACATTCCGAACTTATTTTATGAATCTGTTATTATTATCGTATGCCAGTGCAAATTTGGTCGTTATGTTCCGCAAGCAAAGTACCGATCATTACAGTTCCATTATCACGAATGAGATGAATACCTTTTTCGTACTATAAACTTAGCCGATCATAGAAGTTTCATTAGCTTCGACTGACAGTTCGTCGAAATGGAAAACTGATTTTCATGAGACCATACTGAACAAACAAAACACCAACATTACGTCT